GGCGCGCAGGCCTCGCCCCCACGGAAACCACTGGCAGCCGACGGTGTGAGGCTGAGATACAGCGGCGGCGTCACGATCACTTTTTGCCCTGTTCCTCTTGGTCTCACGTTCCGCTTTCTTTGCTGACCTAGAGCACCGCCAAAATGTTTATAAATGCCTACCTTAATAGCTCAAAACCGAAGTATACCCCAAACTATTATCCCACAACACTTTAATACAATTTCTAACTGATTTCACAACACAAATTTAGAGTCTTCAATGAAACGAGTGTACATGATTTTTAAAATATGGTAGGAGGCATGGAGAGAACAAGCAAACTCAACACTCCAAGAACCCCAAATCTCAGAACTTTAAGGAAGACGTACTAACCACTAGTTCACCATGCTGCTCAAGTATGCATCTTTCAGCATAATTGTTACACCATTGTTTCGTCTATTTCCTCTCACCAAGTGAATGCGTACCTTTGAGATGACCTTGGTGTGACCTTTGACCCCTGGCCGCCACCATGATCACTTTTATCTTCAGGTTTGATGGTAATTTTACATTCCGCTTCAGTTGTGTTGCTCTTGGCCAGGATTGGTCTTCGTTTCTCAAAATCCACTGCCCCTGACACAATGTTCGCCCACTGTGGATGTTGTGGCCCTGGTGTTGACTGTACCGCCACACTACCAGGTGGTGCTGTCTGAGTGCTGGCAACATCCACATAATGATGCCCGCAACACCCACGACACTGTGGTTGACCGTTGAAGACCTTGTCAGTGACATCCTGCATCCTCTCCTGAAGTAACTGCCGGGCCTCCTGGCACCGGAGCCATGCCGTGTTCCAGACCCTCATTCCCCTGGAGCTCCTCAAGGCACTGGCCTGGGCCTTCAACTCCTGAAATTTTTCAACACTGAACTGAAGGAACTTGTCCTGAAAGAGTTGGAGGACAGAGCTGTCATCTGAGGCTAATATGCTGCTGTTGGTAGTCGGAACGGAGTTGAGCACTGTCTGGATGTCACACTGGCTGCCGTGAGGTCCAGGGTCTTTGTTGCCAGGCGCTGTCCTTTGACTACAGTCTTGGGCTTTAAGGATTCTGGGTTGATTCTGGTTCAGATAGTCAATACATTCAACAGCCAAGGATGTAGCCTGTCAAAAAAGAAGAAATACTGTACTGTAAAACAGTTCAACTTCTTCTGTAAATTTTTACATGTTGCATTCATGTGCCTATTAACTATTATCAGAAGCTATGAATGATTTTTGAATGTTGTCTTTGTCACTCCTGTAAATAACCGGTTGCTATGCTGAATAAATCAATATATAGACATGAAAATGTTGAAGAGGATTTTTGTTCTAATGCTTTGCACCTTATCCTCAATTTTAACATACAAATTGCACAATGATATCGATATTGTACAATTACCTGCTCACAAAAGTCACACACATTGACCATGATCCGCAGTTCCCGGCCACATGACTCCGCTCTACACAAGAAGTCGTCCAGGTCTGACTTGAACGCGCAGACCTGGTTGCTGAACGCCTGTGTCTCCGGGTATGACATCCCAGCCTGCTGGAGGTGCTCGGCCTCTTGCGCTAATGACATAGCATGGTGTCTACGATCCTGGGAGGCGATGGCGAGGTTTAGAGATCATGATGCTGTGTATTACCTCAAACTGTGCTGAAGTGCAGCGAGTACTGGCAACTCACATACTATTCACAGAGCTCGTGCAGCTATCAGATTTCATTTAGTACTATGATCAATTGCTTAATGTGCTTGTGTTACGGGGCTGAGCAACCCTGAAGATCAGACTCTTGAAATGGGCATAATGGTCACCAGTAGACTATTGACAAGACTCACATTAGCCTCTATAAGAAAAGCAGTGAAGCTGTTGAGGATCTGATCCAGTTGGTCTCCGGAATGTTCCACTGATTCGGCCTCCTGCAGATGGCGCTCACCCTCTACATAAAACCACTGCTGCAGCTGTAGAAAGAGAAAGATCATGAAAATGACTGATCAATAAATAACATTAAAATGTTCATTTCAGTCACTATCCTGGTGGCACATACTTGTGTGAAATGTCCTTCCATCTCTCTGACTTGCAGCAGATATTTCAAATGTTCCAGAGACATGTTGGAGCTCTGTACAAGGTTATGGACCTGCTCCTCCACATGGTTGTACAGGCTGGTCAGTGAGTCCACAGCGTCACTGCATGTAGGACAAAGCCAGTATAGTCTAATCAAAAAACTGATGCTGCAATTAAAATAAGCAGAATATGAAAGAAGCAAATTCATTTTGTGCCCACCTGAGATCCTCACAGTGAGGATATCTGTGGTCACTTTCCTTCCTCAGCCTCACCAGGATGGCCCCGCCCTCCCTCTGGAGGCTGACCAACCGCCTGTCCTCCAGCACATCACGCATCAAAGTCCTCTGGTCCATCATACATTGTTGCACAGCCTGGACAAGCAAGCACAGTTGCACTCAGAGATCAGATCATGAGAGACCAGGACTTAATAACTCATTTAATAACTTACCTGCTGATCACTGACCACGTGTGACACAATATATGGGTACAAGTATTGGAACACCTGGCCATTTCACCACCAAAAAGTCGTTATAAAAGCTTCCAATATTCTTGAATGACTTACTACAAGATTTTGGAGTGTGGGGGAATTTTGGGCCATTCATCCAGGACATTTGTAAGATCACTGACGAGGGACCTGAGACAGGGGTTGCCTCTCCTCAATCTCTATTCAACTTCACCTGAAAGGTTTTCGATGGGCTTTGAGGGTTAGGTTCTTCAATCCAAGCACACCTTTATGGAGTGAGCTTTTTGCATCAGCACCTTAGTGTGCACACTACGCATATGAAAACCTGCAGACATCTGGCTGCAGACATCATAGCTTCATCTGGCCAATAACTCACTAGACAGTTGACTCATACCGTAATTGCATCACGGCCTTTTGCAAATGTTGGACAATTTTGCACATCCTTGTCAAGATGGTACCATAATTCTTATTGCTGCGTTGGCGATTGTTGATCACTATTCCACACTACTGCACACTTTAACCTTTTCAGGGACAGCGGTTACAGCAATGGACAGCTGTTCATGTTATCAGGGTACAGGTTATCATTATTGGTGCATGAAAGGGTTAAAATACATCATCATTTCATTGCAGTGAAACACGGGCAATAGAGTACCTCTACAGAATTTGTCCTCCGGGGAGCTTTTAAATGACTGATTGCCCTCAGCAGCAGACCGGATGCGTCATGAAGATCCAATGCAAATGGAAAGAGTTTCTAAAGAAGAAAAAGATGTGGTCATCATTATTACCGCACAAGTAACTGTGTGTATGATTGGCTCCAGTAGAACAGTGCAAACTTCTACAGGTTCTTTGAGAGAAGTATTAGATTACTAATCATTTCTGGCTAGGGGTACAAGCAACTTGGTGGGTGGGCACGGCCCCCTCTGGCCTGCTCCTGGCGATGGGTGTGCCTGCCTACTCACCTGATGAAGCTCCAGCCAGTCACAGTGGTTGTAGGACAGTGTTCCATCCAGACGGGAAGTCCGTTGGCTCTCGTCTACCATCTTCATCAGGGCCTTCATCGATGTCACCACTTCAGTCTGTGTAGTCCAAAAAAAAGGAACATCAAGAGCTTTCATGCACCCTGTAACCTGATAACATGATAAGCTGTCCACTGCAGTAACGGTCGTCCCTGAAAGGGTCAATGGCCTTGCTTGTGTCTTGCCCCAAAAAAGGACTTTGTCGTTTTTTGCAATTCATTGTGATTTGTTGTTGTTTTTCCTTAAGTATGAGTTGACTAACCTGCATGGTGGGGCATCTCTCTGGTTGGGCACAGCTTTCTTTATCCACTAGAAGCACCAAGCTGTTCACCGCCTGGGGAGATTGCTCCTGAATACAATCGTTATTTTTGACATGTTAAACGATTTAAGTGCTGATTAAAATATGCTAAAAAAAACAACCCTGCCAAATGAATACATTTCAACTGACTTTTTGTGACCATTTCTATATTTATTCGTCATATGCACCAGTGGTATAGCAGCTAAAAATTGTACTCAAGCAAGAGTGCTGTTACTTTAAAATAATAAGACTTAAGTAAAAGTAGTCCTCAAAATAATTACTTGAGTCAGAGTAAAAAAGTAGCCAGTCAAAAAAATTACTCCAGTACTGAGCAGCTGGTGAGTGCATTCCCAGTCCTTGACTTATTATAATGAACTCATACTATCATTTCATTACATTGTATTAAGGTGCCAGGACAGGGCTGCTTGCACCCAACTATCAAGTACGTGATGATTGTTAATTCAGCCATATACTGTACATGAAAATCAGCCACATTATATTGAGGTGCCAGGGCAGGTGGCTGCTTTCATCAAATTATCAAGTACATGACGATTGTTAATTCAGCCATATACTGTACATGAAAATCAATGTATTTCTCATGAATTTACTGTTTTTCTGCAGGTGCCCTGTTAGGCCTCACCTGATGATAGAGTGGAAGTAGAGCAACATCTCCAAGAGCTCCTGGCTGGTCCTGTTAGAGCTCCATCCTTGGTGGTCTCCATAAAGCTCAGTGATCGGCCTACCTGACCTGTCTCTGCCTCCTGCAAAGGCCAATGAAACAAAAGGTTAGAAGTGCATCAAAAGTATAACCCCTTTAGATATTTAGAAGGAGGAGCTACGATCTTCATTTCCAAGCATCTTAACCCTTTCAGGGACAGCGGTTACTACAGTGGACATCTTATCATGATATCAGGTTCCAGGTTATCATTATTGGTTTCCAAGCATCTTAAGGTAAAAACGTATGGTTCACATTACCTTACTGTACACTTAAACTGACTATATTGCCACTTGTACAGTATATTCAGCGAAAGAACTATTTCAGGACAGATGATTGGAGTACTTTTGGAACCTGCCTGTGAGCGCTGCTACGCCTTGATAGAGAGGGTGAGCTATGGGGTCCGGAAACCCCAAAGGAAGGTGGTCTGGTCTGTGACTGGCATGAGCGGAGGATGGAAGAGGAGTCCTCTGAATTTCTGTTGCTGGAAGTGAAGCAATGGGTGAGGAGCTCTCTGTCTTTCTACCTGTGGTGGATTTACTTGGCCCATTTATAAAAGGATGGAGGCATTTTTATGGATCATCACTCATGCTTTATCTTAACTCATATGTATATAAACTCATATATAAATGTATATTATAATATCAAGTCGGTGCACCGTTTACCTGGAATGGCCATCTTCATTTTGTTGATTTGGGGTGAAACTAATTGAAAGGCTGTGCTTTTTTTACATTTGACCACGTGAAGCTGAGGAACATCTGCATAGACGTCATCATTTCGATCCCTCCTGACATTTGCGCCATCAACGAGGACCAACTGGCACTTCTCTGAGGTATCTACCACTGCGGTAGAGAGGGAGGAACATCTTCCATCGGATTCCCCTTTGCTATTCGGAGGTGAAACAGGCGTGGTCACATTTGGACTGAGCCCAGTGGAAGAGGGTGTATTTAGTTGTCCTTCACAAGGTTTGGGATGTTTGGAACAACCAGATGCTAAATTGTGGTGTTTGGTGGAGATCACACATGCCTTTGCAGGGTCACTGGTGCTCTCCAATGCTCCTTCATCATTTGTTCCACTCCCATTTTGTAAACCGATAAAAGTTCTGTTGCAATGTTCCCGAAAAGGCACAGTGGTCCTGTGAGTTAGGAATTCCGGTCTGCCGTCATGTCCGGGGTTGTCAGGCATAAAGAGAACAGCTTTAGTATCTCCCGGTTTCCAAAATAGAGCAGTGTTTTTTTCTCCTGATTCCTCACAGATGGCACCGCTGGCAATGAAAGTGTGTTGGTTTTGCATCCCGGATTTAGAGCAAATTTTTTGGCCATGACATTGAGGTGCACCTCTTCCAGTCTCTGTTGGTCTTCTGTCACTGCGATGTAAGATTTCCCCATCCTCCTGCACAACACCCAACATCCTGGCTCTGGCCTTCTCATGCTGAACAGTGACAGGATTTCGGAGAGCAGCCCTGTAGGATTCCCGATGACGACATTTCATCTCTTGACTTTGGGAAGACATTTTCCCTTGTCTCCTGGCCATGCACGGAGTACAGGGTTTCTCTGAGAACTTGACAGTGCGCACACACTGAAAAGCTTCAGTTGTAACAAGAAAAGGTTGACGGCATTGGGAATGGTCGAGATCAGGTGATGGTTCGGATGCCACGTTTGTGTGTTGTAATGGAGCAGTTTCTTTTTGAGCATCACCGTTTGCTTGTGTTTTAGATAAATGCAGGAGTAAGTGTTCTTTACGTGGCATTGACTGGCTGTGCATAATTGACTCCGGCGGTGCCCTTGGTTGCATTTGTACCTCTGCTTTTTGTTCCTTTGTTGCTAATGGAGTGCGTCCAAAGAGCATAGTTGCCTGCAGAATATCAGTGCAGTCTTCCTCAGTGGCTATCTGGTCTGAAGACTGACTTACTTGCTTTGTATTTTCAACCTCACCCATATTGTCAACTTTGCACAAATCTGTAGGGTTGCAAACATCCGTTGTTGGATTTAGTTCCGTCCCATCGACACGGCTGTCCCAAGTATTGGGCGATACCCAGCCAACAGGCTTTGGCTCTGTCTCCGTATTCTTGTCTCTGGCAAGCCTGGATGCGGAAGCGGTGCTAGTATCCACAAGGCAGAGAGACACCGCAATGCCGTGCTTGGCTGGACATATTCTGGTCTCAAGCGAGAAGGGAGGAGGATGTGAAAAAGACGGTACGAATGAGGTCTGTTGAATGACACGATACTGTTTGGTAGCAGTTTCCTTTGCAAGAGAAGGATCAACAGAACCGCTTGATGACAAATGATCAGGTCCATGAGCATGAGACATGGGAGGAGGTGATGGAGCATATGAACGAGGAGGACAGGCCATGCTATTGCTGGGACTTTGTGGCCAAACCACTAAGTCAAAGCTTCCAGTTCACATGGTGAGATCTCATCCAAAAGGTAAATGCAATTGTATGACGATTAGGGTCTCCTCCAGTGCTTCTTTTCAGAGACCTCCTCTTTCAGGTGGCTGCAGATCACAAAGCTGGATAATTGCTTCACAGAAGTTGTCGCTTTAAGGTTGCGTGATCCAAGGTCAAGGTGGATGATTACAGCGCCAACAAAATGTTCTAGATGAATGAGAAGAGAGAGAAAATATGAGTACTTTGTCAGCCGGAAAATATTTGTACCCAGCCAAAATGTCCAGTAGGGGACAGTGCAGTACACAATAATCCGAAATGGAAGCGGGTGTTTAGTCAATATTCTCTATTGCAAACGACTGCAGCTATTACATGATATAAATGCTTGATAATTGTACACTAGTGCACCTTTCAGCGGCAATATAATGATACCCAATAGAAGAGCCGCATTAAATATTCTGCCATTGGAATGGGCTGTATATGGCAGGAAAAAGTATGTAAACCATTTGGAATGGATCATAATGCATAACATGTAAACATTCACAGCACAGGAAGGAATAATTAAGTTAAGGATTGGATCTAATAACTGGTTGAGCATCTTTTGGCAGTAATAACCTCAACCAAACACTTCTTCTCGTTGCAGATTTTCAGCAAGATGGGTGGTGACGACGTACAATAGTGATCAAGATTTGCATGCTCCTCTACAAAAAAATGAATTAAAAAAATTCTGTGGTCACACAGCCATTGATCACACACGCGTGAGCACTAATTTACAGAGTATACTGGAGCAACGGTGCAATCAAAACCTTTATTAATGAGGCACCTTTCAATCTTTAAAAACAACACAAAGTGCTTCAGAAAAGAAATGATGAAAGGCACAAACAAATTCCCTCCCACCTACCGGGAGTTTGTGGACCCCTTGGGTATCCAAGACCAAAGTAGAAGCAGTTTAAAAGATTATTAAATACATAGACTGGTTGCTGAGGCAAGGATGAGCATCGAGTTGAGTCTTGCCGTGTTGTCCCTGATTTTTATTTATTTTTTAAATATATTTGAAACAATCAGTGTTAAAGACATTACAGTACAACTTACCATTCACTGTCGAACAAGTATTGCTTTCGTGCCATCTTGGTGCCAAGAAACTATGCTAAAGTGAGGGGAAAAGCTTCATTTAGAAAGGCCGTAGCCCCGTCTAATAGACTTGCACCAAAGCAGTCTAATAGCAGTGCTTTGCTATCGAAAGAGAATTCTAAACCCAATTGCTCATGGATTTTCACAACAGACTAAATTGTATTTTTGTCTACGTGAAAGCTACATCGTTAAAAAATTTTTTGAAAAAAGCTCAAAATATGTACGTATTTGACCTGTGCAACCGTTGTGCAATAGGATGCATTTTAAGGTTACATATTGAAAACATTACAGCGTATTTTGCTTTTGGCAGGGTGGTAATTTTATTTGTCTAATGGCAGGATTTCATTTCTGGAGTTTAGCATTGCATGGGCCACAGGAAAAAGGACACATTCATGCCTTTAATTACTTCTGCTTGGCTAGTGGCAGTTTTAACTGTCGAACAGAGATCAGTTTGTAAAGTGAGATTGAAAACGAACTCTAACGATCAATTACAACTTACAAAGTGCAGTAAGTATGAGGATGCCTGGGGCCGGTTGCATTCCTCATGGTGTTGTTAAATTGCACAGGTCCGTCACCTGTTGAGGAAACAGCTCAGCAAGCTCAAACATTTGGTGCTCACTGTCAAAATCGTAGCCAAACAATTTCAGCAAACGGCGTCACCGTGGTAGCTGCTCTCCGGGTTGCCATGGGCCCTCGTTTAAGTGTTTCACATTTCCTTTGACCCGTTTGAACTCTTTACACATTTAGGACAACTTTATTTAGCGCGCTAATGACCTCAGGGTGAATGCATATACACGTATGTCAAGGCTCGATGAGGAGGTGTACGGCATTAGGATGTGATGTCCAAGCGTTGACACATGGCATGAATTTGTTTTGCTTAGATATGACGTTCATCTTACTTTACATAAATGACTTAGGCAGGTTAGACAGCATATTTAAAAACGGGAAGTGTGGACATGTTTAACTTAACATTTATGACTGTTTACTGTAGCAGATCGTGAAGGAAAAAAAATCACTTTTAATACACCCTACAACCCAGAATAAACAGTCAGGATGATCATTTGGAGCTATTCAACAATGAGGCCTTTGCTGACTTTGCTGTGGCCGAATCACATCAGCTTCAGCAATTGCTTTTTGTCGGCCATCTCCTCCTAGGCAGTCGTATAAGCACTGCATCATGTAATAAGCCATACACTCTGTGTCACATTGCTGTTGCTCATTCTGTATCTGACATTCCATGTTTATTTCCTCCCCGACTATCTTATTACCTTGCATTATCATCTGGGACTACTGTCCACAAGCAGTCTCAGCCTGTCGACAGAGCCCTGTGACTCAATCAGGACACACCCCTCTGGGAAACAAACAAAAACAAAAACACTGGTCATCATGATGACATGGGGAAGGAGGATCGCACTTGCACTTTCTGCTTTTCAAATTATCACCCACACTGAATAGAGGTCACGGCATTCCGGTTTTTGCAAATTCACATGGCTCAACAAGTATCGTATTTTCTGCACTACAAGGCACACCTAAAAGCATTCAATTTACTCAAAAGCCGACAGTGCGCCCTATAATCCGATGGACCTAATATAAAGAGACTGTAACTCTCTTGACATTCCCCATTGAGTTGTTTCCTTATTAGTATTCCTACGCCATCTAGTGGTGATTATTAGCAGGAACCAATTGTAACCTAAAAAGGTTCTGCCCGACACTAACTGACACGTGCAGTCGCCAACACACACTCAAACAGACAGCTACTTTGTGAGCTCTGCGCAATTGACACGTGCAGTTGCCAACACACACTCAGCTACTAGCTACAGCTACTTTGTGAGCTCTGCGCAGCCATTATGAAACCATTATGAAGCGAAGATAATACCAAAAGCAGAGTTAACTACTGACTAAACGAAGAAGGAGACAAGCAAGACTTCTGAGGATATTTAGCCCCTTGTGGATAGTTTAGCCCCAGGACGTTGGTGTGCCTTTTTGTTGAATCAGAGTGTTAATCACAGACAAGACTTCTAAGGATATTTATCCTTTGGGGATGGTTTAGCCCCAGGACGTTTGTGTGCCTTTTTGTTGAATCAGAGTGTTAATCACAGTCAGACCTACCCACTCCTCCGAAAAAACTAACAAACAAACAAAAAATCAGCAACTGGGCTGGACGATGTGCAGGGTTAAAGAGGAGTGTTGAATAATCTGAGCGGAATAATCCATAGGACAATCGATTCTAAAAGTGACAGTCCTAGTGACGATTGAATGCTCTGGATAGATCTGAAAACGAAAATGTACTGGCAGTCTCCAACCAACCTGATGGAGTTTGAGAGAGGTGTTGCGAAGAGCAATTTGCAAAACAGCCCAAAGATTGTGGCATTAAATTAAGAAAAGGCTTGAGAGTGAACTTGTCATGGAAGGCGCACGAGCCATGTATTGAGAAAAGGCTGTGAATACATACGGTTTTTATTTTTTGTTTTAATTTCTCCCAATGTTTTTCATGTTTCTAATACGGGGTGTTATGTGTAGAATTTTGAGTTAAAAAAAACAAACAAACATAAAATTAAACCTTCTTCTCATTGTGAATGTTTGCCAAATACCGGATAGCTATCGCACATACAGTACATTTTAAATCAAATTGTTCTGATGGCTTCTAGATGCTGTTCGTGGTCTCAAAGGCGATTGTTACTATGAAGTTCGAGGGTTGTGGTAATGGAATAGGATTTTTAGTCATGATTCCTCTACAATCTTTTGTTTAAGTGACGCAATCCCTTGAGAAGTAAGGAAATCACAACAAACATTTGCCAAAAGTTCAGATCCGTCTCAGACACCAATGACCAAAATAAGCGTCAACATTTCCTCCGTTTATGTATGTCTTTTTTTGACTTTGAAAAACAAAACCAAAAAATATACAGAGATTCCCTCCTCCATTGCATTCTCCCCCCCCTGCATTCCAATCCCTGCAGAAGACTCATGCTAATGCTATGCTATTGGTTCTTCACTCACAATAGGACTGCACCAGGACGTTACTCGATTGAGTCGAAGAATCTCATTTATCTCCAACGGTACACTTGAGCTATCATTTTTGAATAAAAGCATTCACAACACTTGTCCTTGCCATGACAAAGCACCACGAGTGACAGAGGACCTCAACAATTTCTGAGGAAAATTCAATTTAGCCGTAAACAGATTAAAAGTGACAAGGAAGTTTTCAAACCAGAAGAACACAATTTCAAAGCGGAAAAACACAGTACATCTCTGCTCAACATTTTTGTGAGCATGCCTTTTTAGAATCGCCATCTTAAAGAATTCTGGATGTGGGACTGTTTGCTTCTTGGTTTGTTTCTGAAATTGATCGTTAAAATGTAATTTTGTTTCCTTTTGTGTAACAAAACGTTTTTTAATTGTGTTAATAATTACATGTAGAGAAAAAGGAATCACACTGCGGATAGAACAGTGCATGTAAACATACAGAGTCAGACTGCTCCATCAACCACAAAGAATGCCTTTCTGAAGAGAGGGGAGGAAAAAAACGGATGCTTTGTGTGCCACCGATCAGCACAGGGGTTAATTCCCAAACACTGAGGTTGCTCCGAAAGCAGTGGATGATGGTGGCAAGGGCGTGGCGGGTGGATAAATGGACACACACTCACACATAAGGGCTCGCCAAGTCAAACCTCCAGAAGGGCTGGGCGGGTATTTTAAAATTCACTTCCCTGCATAACATCATTCCAGTGACCCAGTGGCAAACAAATCAGCCTTATGTGCAAGCCCAGGCACACCCTCGCTCCAGCCAAAAGGTGCAACAACACGGAGGGAAAAGACACAGTCAGGGAGCACCCTCACATTTTCAAGTGGATGTACACTAGAAGGACAGACACAAGTGCCCCAACCAACATTTTTGAAGAGCCATCACGAGACAACTTTGTTTTTTTTTTTTGTTTGTTTTTCAGTTATGCTGCAAGAGAATCACAGTTGCTGATGCACTTGCAGATATTTTGAGTCATATAACCAAATACAAAATGAGAATACTTGCTCGGAGCTACAGTAGGACAAAAAGTCCAGAAGCTCACATGCAGTTTCACTGTATGAAGTGTCAAATAAGTGTGTGCTCATACTTAAGCACTATTGGAATAAAAATAAAGAGTACACATACGATTGTGTGTGCGTGTACACATACGTTTGTGTGTGTGTGTGTGTGTGTGTGTGTGTGTGTGTGTGTGTGTGTGTGTGTGTGTGTGTGTTTACATCTGAGATCAAATTTGCTACAGTGAAAAACCCCGTTGTGAAAAATTTCTTGCTGCAAACATGATTTCGTTGTAGAGGAGTTTCACTGTATTGTATTCCCTTTAGCGTAGCTCCATCTAATGGATGCATAACGCAACCCCACCCACTATTATAGCTTCTATTCGAAGTGTCTTATAATGCGGTGCACCCTCTATATGTAAACTGTTATAAAATAGGCCACTGAAGGTGCACCTTATATTCCGATGCGCTGTATAGTGCGGAAAATACAGTATATGCAAGTTAAGTACTGTAATTAAACTTGTACCAATGTTTTTGGACAGTTAGTGAATGGACCAACAGTCAGAGGAGTGATTATTTTGTCAGCATGGTGTAGCTCCTGGATGACTCACATGCCAAAGAGTTCAGCAGATAGATGGAGAAGGCTTGTGAAATCCAGCCTAATGCTCAGCAACGTGAAACCTTCACCTTGAGTCAAAACAGTCTTGCGGTTACACTGTGGGACAACAAGTCACACTTCATGCATGCGTGCAACACAAATGGCTGCTTGTCAAGACGCTGTAAATGAAAGACTTGGCTGGACTACATGGCTGAAGACAATGCCGTCACACAAAACGAATTGCATTTTCAGAACGTTACCAACATCTCTCCGCTAACCCCGCATTTATGTGTGCATATGTGAATGGACAGACAGCTGTTTAATATGTGGGACAGATGTTTACATTATCTGCATCAGGTTGTGCAGGCTAACGTTTACAATATGCGCCTGCAGCATTGACGGAGATTTGAGTGATGTGACAAACATATTGTGGTCGTAAAATACGCTGGCGTGTTTAAAAGAACACATTATGGAAAATTGATTTTTTAATCGCTTGTATACAAATAGTTGGGTCTCCGGAGTGACTGACCACAACACCAAGTGTGATATTACACAAGCCCATTAATCATTCATCAGCATTGGAGATTTTTTTATTTTTTTTATTTTACAGTCGTGCAATTTTATTTCTTACTGTCTTCACACTGAGTTTCTCAATCATTGACTTAGCATTTAACTGAGCAAAGATTCTCCATCCATCCACCCATTATCCGAACAGCTTATCCTCAAGAGGGTCGCGGGTGTGCTGGAGCCTATCCCAGCTGTCTTTGGGCAGCAGGCAGGGTACACCCTGAATTGGTTGCCAGCCAATCACAGGGGACACAAAGACAACCATCTGCACTCAGAATCACACCTAAGGAAAAGTTAGAGTGTTCCATTAAGCAAGTAAGCAGGTGGGAGGTAATCGGAGTACCCAAAGAAAACCCACGCAGGCATGGGAAGAACAGGCAAACTCCACACAGGAAGGCCGGGGGCTGGAATCGAACCCATGACCTCTGCACTGTGAGGCGGGCGAGAAAAACCTGTGCTCCACAGTGCCGCCCTTTAGAAAGCCTCATCATCCAATGTGAGGTATCTGTTACTGTTTTGGAGCCCTCATGTCTGGCAAGAAACCAAAAAAAAGTGCTTTCAAGACAATTGTATTGCTGTTGACAAAAAGAAGGGAAACAATAGCTAAAAATGAGAATGGCGTTCATGTTTCTCATCTTCCTATCAGTTTGGTGTAGTTAAAATGGAGTTCTGAACAATTAGCATGTTTTTATTTTCATACTTTTTGCAGAACGAAGTGTGTTTTCGTTCCTTTCTATACTGTACTGTGAGAAGAAGAAACGTTTGAGAAGAAGGAAAAGAACCCTCGAAGGAGACCCATTTGAAGCAGAACGATTTTGGTCCTGTGTTTCAGTGTGATGCCAGTCTGAAAAAAATTTCCAGCAGCAATGTGGATGACTGAGCAACATTGTTGGTTTTGTGAAGCTATGTTTACTGGTTTGGACAGTTTTCTAATTCCTGTTTTTGCTTACAGCGAGAGTTGGTGAACAATTTTTTTATGAATTAAGGACTGTGATTTGGATCTTGCTTGACTAGTTTTGTTCTAGTGCATCTGCTTTGCCCCCCCAAAAAAAAAGCACCAAAGGGAAACTGCTTTGCTTGCTTCGTGTGCCAGCTGCAAGCTACCCAATTGCAAGCTATCTAGCCACCGAATGGCTAGCTGCCATATGCTTGTCACTTGTGAGCAAAAAGTAGGGTTTTCTTTGTGTGAATTATGTTTTGAGATTTTACGTTACATGAGGGATTGATTTTCTTTTACACTTGTATAAAAGTGAAGAAATAAGTAGAAGAAATTGGTTTGCGGCGCAACGTTACCCCTACTCATTTGTCATTGAAAGAACGATTTAAAATAGTTTTAAAACATTCATAAAATATAACTGTAGATGTAAAATATTAATTTTACACTGAAAGAATGAACTAGCATATGTGTTTTTTTCTGGTTTTACAGAAATTGCTCATTTTAAATAGTCTTGTACTATGGATGGGTTGGCTGTAAAACTAAATTGACCTTCTGGGACTAAGAAATGATTCTGAATTTGAATACGAAAGCCAAAATATGACACAAGTGTTGCCAAAAGTCAAAGTAAAGGACGAATCCTAACAACAAATCAGACGTGATTTTTAAAATTGACACTTTCAAAAGACGAAAATGATGCATGAAGGTCATTCAAAGGTCAATCAAGGTTCGGTAGTTCACAAGATCACAACTAATAGGAAACTGTCACATTACCATCTTTTTGTCCTCCCGTTGTCATTCCCAATATTCATAGCAGCGTCGCTCACTGTGGTGCCCCGAGCTGTCCGAGCTTGAGAACTGCGACCGAGAGCTAAATGACAACTTTCAACAAGCTGTTTGCCTTTGCCGAGTTCTCTGCTTCAGCTTCATGTACTCACTCATTTCTCATTTCTACCCTCTGCCTCTCTATCCTCTGAAAATTCAGTCTCCCTGAGCACTCTCTTTCTGCGGCTCCGTGTCGAATGGCGCCCGCTAAGCTGGTCGGAAAGTGACAGTGTGACCAAACATGAGGAGAGGTGAGAGTGAGAGAGGGAGGAAGGCAAAGAGAGGGCGGGAGAGAGCTAGTAGCCAATCCAAGTACATATTTTTTTTCCACTCTTTTTTTTTTCTTATACCTACACAGAGGTTTGTTAATGTTCATGTTTGTCCCAAAAGCAGCACACACAGCAGAAACCATTCAGGTTTAATATTTAATATTTTCACAATGGAAATATTTTTTTTATTTCATATTCACGTAGCCACTTGTTGCTGACGAGTAATAATAATAATAACTTGTGTGGGGCTTTTCAAAATACTGAAAGATGCTTTTACACACCAGTAACTCCTAGTATGGCCAGGAGTTGTCAAAATCATTTTTGTCACCGGCCACATTGTACAGCTAGTTGCGATTTCCCTCACAAGGCTATTATGACTGCGAAATCACATAAATGTTTAATTGTGTTTCTGTAATTACTATCAAAGGTGTTGTGGTAACAAAATAAATGTATGCAATATCGCAACATTGTTATTGTTTTCATATATGAAATTTTAGTACAGATTTTATTCACAATCATGGAAGTGGACACACGTGATTTGCTTTCGCGGGCCACATAAAATGATGTGTCGGGACGGATCTGGCCCCCGGGCCATGTGTTTGACACCAGAGTACAGCAAAAACAACACTTGGGTTTATGAGATCTTCGCACTAAGCCACAATTAAGATACCCTTTCATAGTGCACATTTACACAGATGCCTTGACTGTTTGTTTTTACTGTTTGTTCTTATGTCTTTGTTCATAGTATACTGCCCCCAGGTGGCCAAGTTGAGCACATCAGCAGGAGCAACATCATGACCAATGAATTGAAGCAAAAAAAAAAAAAAAGTGACAAAAACGATGTAATTCTTTAAATTCTGTTAAAATCATTGCTGTATGTATTCATAAAATACAATTTTTATTTTGTTGTTTTTTTCCACATTAAAATACATGTTATACATTTTTGGGGAAGGCTGAGATATATTCATGGGATTTAGATAAACTTCAATGGGTGAAGATGATTGGAGGTACACAAGTGTTCTGCGTTACAAGCGTAGACAAGGAACGAATAAATAATGTCATATCGCAAGCCCTCACAAACTGAAAGACACCTTTCAAAGCATCAATACTTAAGCACTGGGACTGAAAACACGAGATTCTGAATCATTGTGATGGTACGCTGGCTTGTCATGAATAGAATAACATCGCTGCTGCTGCCATGGTGACCGAGTATCAGCTACTTAAGGTTCATCTAGTATAGCCTTTTGTATGTGTGTGCTAATGTCTCTAAAGAAATACTGTAGGGGTTCAGCACTTGAATTTTCTATGAACCGTAATGCAGTAGCTTAATTGATAGTTTTACAACTTAGGGTAAACACTGAAGCAAAAATAATCATAAAAAAATACTTCTATTAGCTACCAATGAAATGGTTAAATAGGGTGAAGGGCACAAAAGGACCAAAAATGAAGCCTCGACTAAGGAGGTGAGCGTGACTCTAAGTCACTGGTGTCAAACTCAAGGCCCGGGGGCCAGATCTGGCCCGCCTCATCATTTTATGTGGCTTGCGAAAACAAAACAAGCATGTCAACTTCCATGATGCTGACTAAAATCACTACCAAAATGTTTAATTCTCATATGGAATAAATAAGAAACATATTGTAAGCATTTTCTTGTAACCAAACCCCTCATTACAGTAACATGCAATAGTTGAATAAACCGTTATTATCGACTTTTTAAATTTGGTTTCAGTCATAACGGCCCTCCAAGGGAAACGATAACTAAAATGTGGCCCACGACAAAAATGAGTTTGACACTCCTTCTCTTAGTGAAGAATGAAGTCAGAGAAGAAAAAAAAGGTTTCAAACAGTAGTGGCACTGCTATTGGGTAAAACATCATACCAAAGTGCAGCTGCGGTGAACCGGCGGGAACGTCTTGTCTTAGTTGATCTGAACTGACCAGATGGAGACAAGTCAGAGAAAAAAAAAAGACGCTGACTGGCACGAAAGTCCATCAGAAGAATTCAACCTATGTACAAGTGTAAAACATACCGGTGAGAATGCAGCCTCAACGTTTAAATGTCAATTGCTTTCACGCCTATTTTAGTTAGCTTCTCTTCTCGTCTCTGTTCTTAATGCTTTTTTCTCTTAGGCACTGTGTAAAAAGAAAGTGAGATGTAAAGTACTGTGGACATGTTTTCTCCAGACATTTCCTGCTTCGACGCGTGTGTGTGTGAACGGCCGTTCAGTTAATTGGATGTTTGGATTTATTAGCCCTATAAAGACATACAGTATATGGAATTGGTAATCTGGTGCCCCATTAGCTGTGGAGCTTTTGATGCACGCAGAAAAAAAAACACATCCAATGTGATGGAAAGGAAATCAAGTCTTAACTCTTGCGTGTTTTGTTGTTTTTGTTGCTATTGCTTTTAATGTTGTTCTCTTAGTGCCCCGGTTGCTCGGGTCCTCCTGCGGCCTTTGCTAATGCACTGACTCTTCTGGGTGACATGGCAAATATGCAGTGGTCACAATGGAGAGTGACGTTTGGTGTGTGCGCGTGTGTGTGTGTGTGTGTGTGTGTGTGTGTGTGTGTGTGTGTGTGTGTGTGTGTGTGTGTGTGTGTGTGTGTGTGCGCGTCTGTGATGGCCAGAGGAGACAAGCTGTTGAATCAAGCGGACACAGAGAAGGCTTTATTGCCCTTGTCCCATTTCCTTGCATTCCCATCTTACATCGACATATCAAGTACATAAGCAGTACATTTGACTGAACTCTCCTCCCCAGCTTTTGAGCAATACTTATTCCAAATGAAGGTGCAGCTCCGACAAGGGAACAAGAGAAGAACGTGAAAAGAATATGCTTTACACAAAAGTAAGCAAGACTTACAAAAAGTTAAAGACGCATGACCCCTGTGTCAACATACACGTCGATCCTGAAGTTTACCGACAGCCATCAAAATCCTAATCGCTGTTATGGTTAAGTATGAGCAACAGCAGTGTGTGTGATCATATTAACCATGGCCTGTCATCGTTGTGTCTTCATCTTTACATGAATTCAAGCAGACATTAAAACAAAACCGCCACGCTGTACATGGCACTGACTTTATGCGTGATCATAATGTAGTGTGTCAGAACACGGCACGCGTGCGTCTGTGCACGTTATAACCTTAATCTAGCGGGGTGTTTAGAAACTGCTAATCCCAGCAAATGATGGAACTAATGAACCTCAGGCCGGGGCAATCTATTCTTAACTCCAAAAATCTTCAGAACTTCAAGCTTGCGTCTTCAAGCTCCGACTTAGCAGCTCGCACCTCATTAGCATTCTGTACGACACTTAGCATAGCTGCAGACAAATCTCCTACAGCGAGCAAGCCTGGGGTCAATGCAGGGCTACGCAGAAAGTGCTTGGAGTTGACAGTTCGAGAACGAAATAGGTTTGTGCTGCTTTTCCTATTGCACTCGCCTCATTCTTTCATCCACCAGTTTAGTTTTGGACAACATCTCATGTCCTTATTTAACCGGTTATCCCATTTTGTTAGAAGGAATCGTTTCTTAAGTTAGAATATTGGTTGATCGCTAACCTTTACTCCACTGTGCTACCTGTGGTGGATAAATCAGGCAAAATCAACAGGTTGAAACAGAGACTGGTCCAGGACACACGCACACACACACACACACACACACACACCGTATTTTCCACACTATAAGGCACATCAAAAAGCATTCAATTTTCTCAAAAGCTGACAGTGCGCCTTATAATTCGATTTCTTGGATGTAGTATTTCAAATGTTCTGTAAAGCGCTTTGTTACAGCTGCAGCGGTTGTGAAAGCTCCATAAATAAAGCTGGATTGTATTGCGTTCCCTTTAGCGTAGCTCCCTCTAGTGGATGCACAACTTAACTGCAGTCACTATTGCGGCTTTTACTCTATGCGCCTTATAATGCGGTGTGTCCTATATATGAAAACAGTTTTAAAATAGGCCATTCATTGAAAGTGCGCCTTGTACTCCGAAGCGCCTTATAGTGCGGAAAATATGGTACTCAGTATTTCTTTAGTATATGAAGTTTGAAATCTCTGTTTTACTTTGTATTAATTGGTTAGGTCGAACAAACTCACACAAACTCACGCCCCTGACCGTTATGCACATACTTTTAAGAGTGATGTGTATTGTAGACGGTTTAAAATTCGATGACTTTCTTAAATCATATCTCCAACCTCTGTCATTCGATCTTTTTGGATGCTAAATGATAACAGACTGCTTCATGTAGTATTTACCCCGTTACTTTTTTTTTAACCTCCGCCTTTTACTTTTTTTTTTTTTTTTTTTTAACCTCTGCCTTTTGGCCGATATTTAAAATGTATTGGGGTCTTGAACAAATTTTCAATGAGTAGTGTTTTTACATCGACACATTTAAAAAAAATCCCTCACAGTGAGAACATCGGTCCAATGAGCTGATCTCTAACAAGAGCATCATAAAACCCATGGCAGGGACAATTTCTTTATTGTTGTAAGGCGACCATCAAACAAGCTGAAAACAGCTACTTAGCCATGCACACTGCATAACTAAGGACCACAAAAAAAAAAAACCCAACTTAACCACACAGTCTAAAGAATAGAATGGTGGGAAAGACACGATATCCACAACATTCAGCTTGAACTTAAAATACGGACAGTTTTTCAGCGCTGTCTCCTCGTGTGTGTGTAGATATATAATCAAGTGGTCAGCAGACAGTAAAAAAAGAGACTATCCTGGTAAAGTTCATGTGTGTGTCCTTGTATGCGTTTTCTCCCACCAAAATAGAGGCTGCAATCCAAACAGCAGCCTCTGGCAGTACAATGCGGCGCCTCTCCAAACCACACTACTGTACGTCCTATATGTGTAAAACACAAAATTTCTTCAAGCTAAAGCAATGGCTGATATCTTGTCAGCCAGGTTCAGTCTACTGTGTGTGTTATTTTAAACAGAAGGCTTC